GGTAATGCATCATCATAATGAGCTCAAAGTGACCAAGTGCCTGGTCATGGGATCATGCATTACGGTACGAGTAAAGTGACTTGCCGGTAACGAGATTGAACGAGGTATTGGGATACCGACGATCGAATCTCGGGCAAGTAACATACCGATTGACAAAGGGAAATTGTATACGGGGTTGCTTGAATCCTCGACATCGTGGTTCATCCGATGAGATCATCGAGGAGCATGTGGGAGCCAACATGGGTATCCAGATCCCGCTGTTGGTTATTGACCGGAGAGCCGTCTCGGTCATGTCTACGTGTCTCCCGAACCCGTAGGGTCTACACACTTAAGGTTCGGTGACACTAGGGTTGTAGAGATATTAGTATGCAGCAAACCGAAAGTTGTTCGGAGTCCCGGATGAGATCCCGGATGTCACGAGGAGTTCCGGAGTGGTCCGGAGGTAAAGAATTATATATGGGAAGTCGAGTTTCGGCCATCGGGAAAGTTTTGGAGGTCACCGGTATTGTACCGGCACCACCGGAAGGATCCCGGGGGTCCACCGGGTGGGGCCACCTATCCTGGAGGGCCCCATGGGCTGAAGTGGGAGGGGAACCAGCCCCTGGTGGGCTGGTGCGCCCCCCTTGGGCCCCCGTGCGCCTAGGGTTGGGAACCCTAGGGGAGGGGGCGCCTCCACTTGCCTTGGGGGGCAAGGCACCCCCCTTGGCCGCCGCCCCCCTTGGAGATTCAATCTCCTAGGGTCGGTGCCCCCCAAGGGTCCCTATATAAAGAGGGGGGGAGGGAGGGCAGCCGCACCCTTGCGCTTGGCGCCTCCCTTCCCCCTTGCTACACCTCTCCCTCCCGCAGACGCTTGGCGAAGCCCTGTCGGGATCCCTGCTGCATCCACCACCACGCCGTCGTGCTGTTGGATCTTCATCAACCTCTCCTTCCCCCTTGCTGGATCAAGAAGGAGGAGACGTCTCCCTGACCGTACATGTGTTGAACGCGGAGGTGCCGTCCGTTCGGCGCTAGGATCTCCGGTGATTTGGATCACGACGTGTACGACTCCTTCAACCCCGTTCTCTTGAACGCTTCTGCTCGATCTACAAGGGTACATAGATGCACTCCTTTCTCTCGTTGCTAGATGAACTCATAGATTGATCTTGGTGAAACTGTAGGAATTTTTTTATTTTCTGCAACGTTCTCCAACATCTTCCACGCGTAAGGAACGCTTTGTATTTCCGCTAACTGTGATGACGCCGCGTGGATCGGGCATCTTAAGTTTAAGGTAGGCATAATGCGGTACTACATTAAAACGAGCAAATGCCGTTCTTCCGAGTAGTGTGTGGTAGCCGCTTCAGAATGGAGCGATGTCGAAGGTTAGTTCCTTGCTTATGAAGTTGTCAGGGGAACCGAATACAACCTCTAGTACTAGAGAGCCCGTACAGTGGGCCTCGACGCCTGGTATCACTCCTTTAAAGGTAGTGTTGCTTAGGCTGATTCTTGAAGGGTATATCCCCATTTTGCGGACAGTGTCCTGATATATTAGGTTTAGACTACTGCCGCTGTCCATAAGGACTCGTGTGAGATGGTATCCGTCAATTATTCGGTCGAGCACCAAGGCAGCCGATCCTCCATGCCGGATACTAGTCGGATGGTCCCTGCGATCAAAGGTGATCGAGCAGGCCGACGAGGGATTACATTTGGGGGTGACGGGCTCCACAACATATACGTCTCGGAGTGCGCGTTTACGCCTACTCTTTGGAATGTGAGTTGCGTAAATCATATTCACTGTTTTGACTTCTGGTGGGAATTTTTTCTGTCCTCCAGTGTTTGGCTGGCGAGGCTCATCCTCGTCTTCACTTGGCATCTCCCTCCCCTTTTGTTCGGCATTCAGCTTGCCAGCCTGCTTGGAAACCTAACACTCTCTATAGGTGTGGTTTGCAGGTTTTTCGGGGGTGCCGTGAATCTGAGATAATTTGTCTAGAATCTTGTTTAGGCTTGACGGTCCATCTCTGCTGCCTTTAAATGGCTTCTTCCGTTGACCGGGTCGAGAGCCCCTGAATATGGCGTTGACCGTCGTGTTTTCTGGGTTGTCATCATTGTTTCGACGCTTGTTTTTGTTGCATCGCGGCTTCCCGTTGCCACCCCTGACTTCAGATGTGCCTGGGTCGCTGGTGCCGCTACGGGCCAGTCAGCTGTCCTCGCCCGCGCAAAAGCGGGTCATAAGGCTTGTTAAGGCTGCCATTGTCCTCAGTTTTTTTAGCCGAGGTGTCTGGCAAGCTATTTGTCCCGGATATTGTGTTTGAAGGCCGCTAAGGCTTCGCGTCCGGGCAATCGACTATTTGATTCTTCTTAGTAAGAAATCTGTTCCAAAGTTTTCGGGCAGACTCTCCGGGCTGTTGAATTATGTGACTTAGGTCGTCTGCGTCCGGAGGTCGGACATAGTTCCCTTGAAAATTGGCCCTAAAACCGTCCTCAAGTTCTTCCCAACTTCCAATTGAGTTTTCAGGAAGGCTTTTCAACCAGTGCCGAGTTGTCCCATTCGAGCCGGACATAGTTCAGCCAAGAATCTCCCGACAAGGAAAGAGACCTTAATGAGTTTAGCACATCACCTAAGGGCAAGTGTTGAAAAATATCCGCGAAGGCGAACTCCATGACTGGTGCCCAGTCAAATTCGATAGGCATGGACGTACGTGGTTCGGATCCTGTGGCCGGAGACGAGTCCAAGGGTCCGAGGATACCATCCTCACAGGAGGTGGCTTCAGTGTTCGGCTCCAACGCCGATGAGTTTGCGGCCTCCGTGGCAGGGTCCATCCACCCGTCCTCGGAGGGAACGATCTGCTCCGGATTGATTCCCAGCGCCGCCGCAGGCGCGACCTCCCAAATAGTGTCCGATGGCAGATCAAAGTCATGCCCGTCGTGACCATCCGGCGCGCCTGACATGGGCTCGAATCCGTCGAAGATCAAGTCTCCGTGGATGTCGACTTAAAGATGAAGATGGCGGGTTATGAAGCAAGCCTATTGAAGGTCCAAGACCCAGAGGCGACTTGAGGCCCAAAGGGATGAACCGCCATATGTTTAACTTGTACTGTAAGGCAAGCTTAGTTAGAAACCGAGTTGGTCACGTTTGTGTGAGCCGGCCGAGACTCTGTAAGTCGTCGGGCATCCACCTGTGTATATAAAGGGTGACCCGGCGGCGGGTTAACTCAAGAAACAACTCGTCGAGAACTAGGTCAAGCCCCGGTGATCGAAACCCAAGCAATACAACCTAAAGCATGAGTAGGCTTTTACCTCGTTGAGAGGGGCCAAACCTGGGTAAACTCTCTATGTCCTTTATCACGTTTAACCCCTTCAAACTAACCTAGTTGTGATGGCTCCACACCTAAGTCCTTTTGCTAGGGCATCTGCCGTGTTAAGTCCACGACATCTATGCTCACTGAACACAGTTTCTAATGATCACTACTAAGTACTAACACATGATCAGTGCTACTCTGATTAGTGCTTACAGTTATCAGTGCTAACACTGACCAGATAAAGCCACCACTCACATGTCCTACTTGCACCTACTATTTTTGGCATTCAGGTATGTCCTACTTGCATGCCACATGCACTCACGTACACTAGCAACGAGAGCAACATAACAACAACAAGAAGAAGAGTAGCATGAACAACAGCAGCAAGAAGAGTAGCATCAACAACAACAGTAAGAAGTAACAACAGTAGCATATACACTAGTAATAGCACCAAGAACAAACAATGTGGCACTACAACCTAACAATTTGGCAGTAGAAAGTAACAATGTGGCACTAAAACGATGCAAACTAGCACTACATTATGAACAATCTAGGCATGTGGGATGAACAAAGTAAGCATGCACTCTTGTTCATCCCCAAAACAGTGGAATCTTACCGAATCCGGTCGAATCTAGTAGAATCCAGTCGAATCGGGTCAAATGAACTACCCTAAGAACCCTAACTAAGAAGCAGAGGGAGATTTGAGAGCTTACAGTGGGGGTTGCCGGTGTAGCGTACGCCGGCCGTGGTGAAAACCCCGTAGGGAAGAGGGGTGCTGTCACCGCCGATTAAGAGGACCCGACCATTCCCAGGGTCGCGGCCGTGCACCTCGGCCTGCGCCGACTCGAAGATGACGCCGACGTTCTGGAGCTCCGCTCCCCTTGCACCGGACGCAAAGGAGAAAACCCTCTTATGGGGGTAAAAGTACCCCCATAAGAGGGGCCTGCAAAGGACGAAGCCGGCGGGTATTGGATCCCTGCAATGTTCGAGCCGATGGAGAGGACCACCGGCTCCGGTGGCAGACCAAGACCGACCGGGCCGGCGCTGCATTGGCCCGGGGCGGCGGCACGGTGCAGAAAGGTGAGGGAGCTCGCAGTGCCGCCGCCAGATCTACTCCGGCCGCGGAGAGGCCGGCAACCCACCTCTCTTTAATGGGATTGCTGTCAGTGATGGCCGGAGTGGGTGGGGCGTGGCGTGACGACGGCGTGGCCATCGGAGAAACCGAACGGGCGATGAGGTGAGAGAGAGGGAGTGGGTGTGAACTAGCGAGGAAGGTGACGGGAGAGGGCATGGGGAGTTATGAGCAGTCTCGTCGTCTCCCATGCATCCCAAGGCGTGCAGTCGCTCACCACGCGTGGCTCGAGCGAGCCTGGCTCGCAAAAAAGGCCGAATCGGCCGTTCCTCCAGAGGCCCTTTGAGGTTAGTGCGGGCCAAGAATGAGATGAATACTGGCCCTACCTAATACGACCAACCAAACGCGTCCTTAAGAGTTATGAAAATTGGTGACGACACACACAGAGGCAGGTTCAGTTTCCTGTATGTACAATTGTACATAGCATGGATAGTAGCATTGGCGTGCAGACCCATAGTTCCTAGGATGAATAAACGCAAGAAGAGCTCCTTCCACATCGCTGCCGCAACTCATATGCAACAATTCAGACGAGAGACGACGCCTAGCAATTTAGCAAGACTAAAAACGGACATTGATCAGGATCAAACACATTGTCACTGTGAATAGACCGGCGTGAACCAGAAGCACGGCCGGTTGTTTCCCTCCGCCCTGGGGAGGGACTCGACGACCTCGACCTTCTTGTGCTTGCCGGCGAGGCTGTACGCCCGAACCCGTGTCTCACCACCGTAGAGGTCCGCGTAGTAGATGGTGCTGGGCCTCAGCCCGGGGCACTCCCTCGTGGACACGGCCACCGCGCCCGACGCGTCCACGAGCACCGCCACGTCGCCGATGTCCTCCTCCTCCTCCCACGTCCCGCCGCACTCGTCCAGCACGCGAACCACGAACTCCCCGCCCTCGCCATCCACCGCGGGGCGGACGAACTCCACCTGCATCAGCGCGCCGCCTCCCGGGGTCTGCACGAGTAAGCTGCTCTTCAAGCCCGAGGTAGGCCTCCGAGTCATGGACGGGATGATATCCGGGGACGCGGAGCCCAGCCCGTGCAGCTCCGGGTAGACGTACACCATCCCGAAGAGGGTGTTGGCGTAGAGCTGGCCGCGGTGGAGCGCCAGGTCCACCACGGCGGGGATGCTGCTCGGCTTCACGGATTTCCAGGCGCTGTCGCCGGGACGAGCGGTGGCCCACTGGTGGCGATGGCCCTCTGGGTAGTAGATGACGATCACCATCGCCCCGCCGCCGGGCGTGGGCACCGGGACGGCCTTGCGGATCAGGGTGTCCTCGCGGTGGATCAGGCCGTCGATAGAGTACACCCGTGGGTCGCGTTTGAGGTGGACAGTGAGGCCGGCAGGGGTCCTTTCGACGCGGTCGGCGAGGGGGAGCGCCGCGACGGGGGGCAGAGGCGCGCGCCTACCGGTGGAGAGGTCGAGCAGGTGCATGGCCCCGCGGTCGTCGGCGGCCACGATGACGCCGCGGGAGGACCCGAGGGGGAACAAGCGGCGGTCGTGCGCGCGCCCGAGGCGCGCGGGGAGGGCGACGACGGGGACCTCGCGGTCGCGGCGGATGACGAGGCGGCGAAATTCCGGGTCGGGCGCGTCGGCGGGGAGGAGGAGCCAGGGGCGGTCGGGGCGCGGGCGGCCGCCGGCCGAGGCGAAGGTGGCCGCGGCGGCGCGCCAGGAGGCGCAGACGGCGCGGAAGGTGCGGAGGTCGAGGGAGGGGAGGCGCGGGACGAGCAGGAGGAGGAAGTCCTCGTGGAGCCCCGCCCAGTCCGCCATGGCCGCCGTGGAGGGGGGGTGGCCGGGTTGGGGTTGAATTATAATGGGGAATCGATCGCGGCGGAGCAGAGTTTTACGGGGAGCGGTTGCCGATTTGGGGGCAGCGGAGGACTCCCCGGTTGCTTATTTACTACGCGGAGACGGACGATTTTAGCGTACCGCTTAAGCTGACACTGTTATTGGATCGGCGGATAAGATGGAGCCGTAGCAGCCCAAGCCCAACATTGCCTGGCCCTATAAGTAATACTCCTTTTTTTCTCTCATTGTTTCCGTGCAGCCTATTTTCTTCAACCCCCTAAAAACCCTATTTTCTTCGATAAAAAACAATATCAGTTTTGTTAAAGCACATCTAAATGTGTCTTAAGTATTGCACATCTAAAGCACATCTAGATGTGCCCTAAGTACCACATTTAAGTATTATGCCATTGATTTTACACGAAGATTCGTGCAAACATTTTCTTTTATTTTTCCCTTTATCTTTATAGTTTGATTGAATCATTTAAATGTGCAATAACTAAGACACATCTAGATGTGCCTTATTAAAGATCAAGAAGATGATACCAAATACATCCGGCCTATACAACAACACAATACCAGGAGCATTCGAGAACATTATAGGATGCTTACACCCATGTATTGTATATAAAAGTAAAAAAAATGAAAAAAGAGAACATGACATAGAGTGTCATGTTGAAGCTTTGAACAATGTGCTACAACAACATCAATCATTACCCTAGACAAACACGCTGACTGCGAGTAAGGTTCCCCAAAGTCAACTTCTCTAGAAAACAGCATGCAAATGCCATTATCAACGGATCTAGACACAAAAGTCTAGTTTAAGAGTTTGCACCCAAAAGAAGAAAATCTAAGCAAAATGCAAGGAGTGCCTACAAGAAGGAAACATCACGTAAACACCCTTGTTGTCAAAGTCCAAACAATGCATAGGGGTTCTCGTCTCAAAACTCAAGACCTAACACTCAAAAAACATCACCAAACTGAAGTCATCTTATGCTACCACATCCGCTTGCCGAACCAACACCTCCATACACACTCGAAAACAATTGTTCATGTGCACACCCTGACGTGAACATCGCCACACGATTGTTAATCATACCCACGTGAGGAACCAACCGAGCAGCGATATAGGAGCCTCCCATCACCACAAACAAGGACCTATGTCACTGCACATATGGCGCAGACCAATGATAGCAGTGCGTGGGCGAGTTGTTCTGGCGGCGGTAGTGGTCCTTCCGTGGTCACATGACAATAATGTATTATTTTTATGTTTGAGATGTTTTGTACTTTAGGTAAACTTTTATAATACATTTGGGTATTAAAAAAACAAAGTTAAACATCCAAATGTCTTACAAATTTTTAGTGTTTTCAGATTTGACTTGAAAAGGTATCGTTTCTATTCATGAAAAAATAACATAAATATTAACTGGCCAATGTTCCCTGCAAGGGGATGGCAAACAAATATTTTTTAAGCATTTTTAGGTTGTATAGAAGATGGCAAATTCTGCCCCCTTTTGCCGTATTTGTTCTTTTCTTTTCAGAAATTTTCTTGAATCTATGAAGAGTCTGTCTAAAAACTTCACAAATGTCATATTTCCGGGCGAATGTTCGCTAGTTATTGCAGTCCAAAATAAAACAATAAATTTTTTTGACATCACAAAATAAACTATAGGTTGATATCACATGGGCGCGCTCGGGTGGCTTCAGAAATCAGGAAACTGACATCGACCAGACAAAACGAAAACGTGACGGCAAACAGTTCCGTACCCATCCCCTCCACTGGTCAATCCCCATCCCCTGTTCCGTTCATACATCTACCTCCTCCGCCGCCGCCATGCCGCCGGCCGGCAGCCTCACCGCCGAGCAGCTCAGCTTCTTCGAGAAGAACGGTGAGCACTTCTTCGTCGCACCTCATCTCCCCCAACCTCTCTGTCTCCCAGCAGCCGTGGGGCGGCTCCCCCAATTTCGAAATTAGCAGCGGAAGCCCTAATCTCAATCTTGCGTGGGCTCCCGTTGGTTCCAGGCTACCTGGTGCTGGAGTCGTTCTCGAGCGCGGAGGAGGTTCAGGCTATGCGGGGCCGCATGGCCGAGCTCGTCCACGGCTTCGACGGCGCTGACTCCAGTGTCTTCTCCACTAAGGATCATGTATGTCGTCCCGAACTTGCCTTATTTGTTCAGACTTCAGAGGGATATACTTCTGACTTGCCAAATAATAATAACTAGTACAAACTTTTTAGGCATGTGCCAGTCTGCCATTTACAGTTCTCCGGATAACTAGCTTCAATTCTCACTTGATAGATTTGATCTCTAGTCTCACATGCTGCCCGATCTGGATTTGTGTTTCCGGAATAATTTTGTTTGCGATGCAGCGGCAGTTGAAGGATGACTACTTCTTTAAGAGTGCGGAGAATATATCTTTCTTCTTCGAGGGTATGTGATTTCTGTCATCTTGGACTTGTGGGGAATGAGTTACCCTTGTCAATTAGGAATCACCAATCTGTAGCATTTATCATTCATGCTCCTTGGACTAGGAGATGCTAGGTAATTTGTTAGAAAAGAAGATATATAAGTTACAGCGTCACATATGGCGGCGAACTGTGCTGCTAGTTCTGTAATTCTGTTCCTGCTTTACATCCTAGCTATTGATGGTGATTTCTCTCTTGTCACTTTGCTGTTTCTGTGACCACAGAAAAGGCATTTGGAGATGATGGATGCTTGAGACAGCCAAAGGAACTTTCAATCAATAAAGTTGGACATGGTTAGTATGCCCACGGTGCAATCAAATTCAGAGATAAATTATTTTACATGTTTGTCTTTTGAACTATATGATCAATTGGTTCTTGTGAATATCATTTAACTGTTTATGTTGCTTGGACCAAGAATTTGTTGTCCCGTGTGTGAAACAACAAGGAAATTCCTTATTCACTGGAAAGCGATAAAATTGAGTATATTTTGAAAAAAAAATGCATCTGATTTAAAGGTGCTGGTGTTAATAATTTAAAGCACAATCATGTTGCATTTCAGTGGACAGTGTTGTTCTTATCTGGAAAAATGAGTTCAGACTTGCATTTAAGTCTGCTGTCTATAATTCCATTAATCTGGAGTTAAGTCAAAACCGCGTGTGGTTTAGGTTATTTTCCCATCTGGAGCTAATTCATTCATCTCAGGCTCTTAGTTGTTATTTTCTTATTTACGAGTTAACATTGTCTATGGTGTGGGAGTCGTTCTCGAGCGCCATCAGTTATTTTCTTTTTTTTATATGCTTGCATATTTTCATGATGACATAATTTCTCAACTATTAAGATATGTAACCTTCGCCATACTATATTTTATGCAGCACTACATGAACATGACCCTGTGTTCAAAAAGTTTGCTTTCTCGGAGAGTATTTCTAGCCTGTTCTCTTCTTTAGGGTACAAGAGACCTGCAGTTATTCAATCTATGTACATCTTTAAGGTACCTTTTGAAGACTAGTTAGTTTTCGTATGATATGCATGTTTTATTCGTTGTTATTGAGTTTTTTTCTTCACATTTCAGCAACCGGGCATTGGTGGCGAGGTGGTGCCACACCAGGATAATACATTCCTTTATACAGAGCCCCTATCATGCACAGGATTGTGGCTAGCACTTGAAGATGCAACAATTACAAACGGTTGCCTATGGGCAATTCCCGGATCACATAAAAGTATGTGACATTACAAAATTATTTAACCCAAAAAGTTCTGTTGCTATTTATATTATTTTTTACATTTGCAATGTTCTGGACCAGATGGTCTAAAAAGGCGAATGATCAGAGATGAAAATGGTACTCATTTTGATCGCCCCTCCCCGCTTTATGACCAGAAAGAGTTTGTACCACTGGAAATGAAATCAGGTGACTTTGTTGTTATTCACGGCGATCTTGTACATCAGAGGTGAATTTCCTTTCTATATCGCAGTTGCTTCCCTGTTGCTGTTTTCTTTCTTACCTTTCGCTAACATGCTTTAGCTTTCTTTCACAGCTTTGAGAACCTTTCTCCAGTGTCAAGACATGCACTGAGCTTACATGTAGTTGACATGGAAGGATGTAAATGGTCCAAGGACAACTGGTTAGTTCATGATGGCGCGACAATGGTTCAGTTGCAAAATATATTTTTTAGATTTTATTTGCTCAAGATGGTGTCACATAATTAACTGTCAGAACTAGAAGGACAGCGAAATGAGCCCTAGTGTTCACTGAACTTGGCATACACTTGTTTCCTCCTCAAACCAAGCTGCTGGTTTTAGGCAAGCATAGTTTTCTATTGCCGTGCAACAGTTTCGTAATAGCTTAAGACATATTTGGTTACCCATGAAGAAAAATGAAACATGATATTGTGTGAGTATAGTACTTGTTCAGGTTAGGTTAGTACTTTTGCTACTTGTTTGGTTATGTTAGTCGTAATACTTGAGGTTATTCTGTCGGGTGTCCAATGATATAGCACTCTGATCTTAGAATTAGAAGGTTGCGTGTGCTGACAAAGCATATGCCACACCATATGCAACATCATGGAATACCTAGTGATTTGTGTACACAGACTTGTTGATTTTACTCACTTTTTTACATGTTTGTTTCTCAGGATACAGAGGAAAACTGCGCCTGAACCGCTCTATGTGTCTTAGTTCAGCCA